TAAGTGGTAAGTTAAGTTCTTACTATGTAAAAAAGCAGGTGTTGCACTTATCTCAAAAGTTAATTGCTACATTTTGTTTTCACTTTTTTTTTGATTTTTTTTTCTTGAGTAGTACTAAAGTACTAAAGCAACTAAAGCAAAGTCATTACAAACTCACAAACATGGAAGTCACAAGTCTCAAAGAAGTATCAACAAGTATCAACGAAGACAATGTCATATTCGAAGAACAGGAAACCGAATCAAAATACGACATATACATTGAGGAAATGAAGCAACTTCTCGAGAAAAGAGAAGAAGAGAAAGAAGAAGAGGTCTCAGACATACAATTACACCTACAATACAGAGAAATTCATAAGTTCATAGCTCAGAAAGAAGCAATGAATCTTCTCACAAAGAAACAGAAAAAAGTCCTTTTCACCACGCTTCTATCTGGTGATGATTATTTCTCAATATATCTGACTCAGAGACAGTGCTGCGGCGGTTTTTTAAGCACACTCTCCGCTCATGTCAGTCATTTTGGTTTGGGGTATAAGTGATTTGTGAAACAGACAACCTTTTTTTCCTTTTTCGTTTTCAAAAAAAAGGAAAGCACCTCAAAAAGAGGTTCACCTCAAAGAGGTTCGCTAAAGCGTTTTTCATACTGCTTGAGGATTTTGTTCGACTGAAATATCGGGCAAAGATCTGTGATGGTGTCATCGATTTGCTTCACCTCATCGAGGAACGAATCGCTGTTGAAGGTCCTTCCTCTCAGATAGCTTCTCAGATCGGTCAATATCTTCTCATAGGTAGTGAAAGCAAATTTGCTCATATTGATCTTTTGGTCAAACTTTTTCACTTCTGTAAACGTTTTGAGAAGGAGTCCGGTGCCAGATATCGTAGCGAGGGGTATCGGATTTAGGGTTACCCCACCGGCTATCCCACCAACAATGATGAGCGTGGTACTCCCCAGTTTACAGAGAAGGCTCTTTCGTTTGAAGATGGTGTAGATCTTGCGAGAGCACCACCACTTCTTGTGATAGTGTTTGTATAAAGCCTTGAGTTCATCGATCTTCTCTTCACCGATAGAGTAGTCGATGTGATTAAAGTTGAAAATCTTCGATTCTGCGTCAGACATTTTATTATGAGTGACTCATAATAAAATTAGCTTTTTTTTCACAGGACAAGGCGATCGCTTCGCGATTAATCCTGCTTCGCAGGATTAATTAATGCGGCAAAGCCGCATTAATCTTGCTTCGCAATCAACAGATAACTGTTGCCAGTTCCATCGAGTATAGTAGCACTGTTATCAGTCGCTATGCTCAGCGATGTGTTAGCTTGGAAATACAGCAAAACGCTATTAGCGGTATTAACCCAAGTCTTTCGTGTGTTAGGCAACGGCATCAATATGCCGCTTGCTGTGGTGACAAACGAATTGCTCAAGGTAAACTTAAGATTATGTAGATGTTGAGACTTGACACCGTCGATGTATGTGATCATATACATACCAGCTTTGTTGATTATGAGTTTTGTATTGTCTGAACTGTTCACTGTAAAATCAGCGTTATCACTCTGTGATACATTTGTGGTATGACCTGACGTTCCATTTACGTAAAATGTTACCTGTGACGCGTTGTTATGCGCACAGTTTCCTCGATACCAGATCTTTTTCGTTGCGTTTGTCAGCGCAGTCTTTGTCGCTTTTGTATTGATATTTGTCTGTAAAGTTGTTTGTATATCATCGACGTACTTTTTTGTCACAGCTGAAGAGGCTACGGTCGGCTCAAATTCGAGAGTGAGTTTTGAATTTATGTGCGTACCTCCGTTTGCGAAGCTATACCAACTCGTCCACACATCTTTTGGCAAGCTGTTGTGATAACCCTTTGATCCATAGATTATCACATAGATGGGAAGTTTCTGATCAGGTGTCTGACCAGCCTTGGTTTTTATCACGACATCAAACATCAGATAGTTTTGCTTGGTATTTGTCCACTTAGTCATATGAATTAGGGTGATGAGGTGATTTTCAAATCGATTGCTGCGCTGAGTAGAGATTGTTTCATGACTGCTCCTCACCGTTACACTTACGCTGTTTGGGTCGACTTTACTCGATAGCCAACACATCTCGCACACAACTGTATATGCAGATATGTCAGCCTGATACATATTCACACCGAAACGAGAAGAATAATAACCCTTGGCAGTATCCAAGATTAAATCAAACGGTTTGGTTCGAGGATTAGTGGGATAAAGTACAACCTGGTCTGTTATCGCTTTACCTGTGATGTCATCCTCGTCGGAAAACTGACCACTTTGAGCCATGATGTAAGAGAGGTCGTTAGCTAGCTGAGGTCCCGCTATGCTATGCGTTAATCTGTCCTCGACAAACTTTCTGTTGACTAACACTTCGTGTTCCTTGGCCGAAGGTGTGTGTGTAGACGTAACTTTGTTTGAGCCCATCACAAGATCACCCGTCATCGTATCACCCGCTTTGTTGACCTTGGTGTTGGCTAGATTCGTAATATTTGTAGAACAGCGATCTACATACTTTTTGCTTACAGCTTCATCGTTATCAGAGAAGGTATCCGGAAGGTTTACGATTTTACGTTTACGCGCGTCCAAGATTTGTTTGTCGTCAAGCTTACGAAAGCTAGGTATGGTTTTCTTAGTGTTATCAACGTATACTTGTGTAACATTCGAAAGAGTGGTCATATCGAGATATGCCTGCAGATGTCTCTTCATTGCCCCCGCTTCATATCGAGAGACGAGTGTGTTTGAGTTCTCATAAGTAGATTGTTGATTTTCAGTCATACCTAGATAATTTTCGCGTTTGGTGTTGATTACATCTTTACCATTCATATCAACATGACGAGCTTTGCCCACCAAAAAAATTTATGCAAATTAGGCTAAGCCGGATCTGAGTTCCGCCTGGCAATTATTAACTGTAAGAGAAGATCTCAGTTCGCGCCCACAGCACGTTCAAGGTGTTGCGGATGAAGTTTCTGTAATTACTTTTTGGCACTTTTCGGCGTCAAAATTGCATAGTTTGGGTAACCCAAAACCCTTAAGCTGACCTTTCTTGTCATAACACGAATGTTTTCCAGAAAGGGACACGCGGTAATGTCGGTGTCTCTCGTGTGCAGGCATTTTTCCAGGTAAAACCCTCGCGTGGAATCAACTCATGTTTAATTTAACGCTCCTTTTATGCGCACAATGTAAGCCAAAGCAATTTTATAGTTAAACGTAAAGATCAGAATATTTTCTTCTAAGGATGATAAATGATCGACGCTGAACTAAATTATACGTTGAAGAAAATGCAAAACAGCATAACATGCAAAAGAGGAAATTTGGAAAAATTCGAAGTTACGGAAACCATGAAAATCTTCGATTTTTAAGAAAGGAAATTTTTATAATTCCAAGCTAAGTAAGCTTTTCTAGTGTTTCATTCTTTAAGGCTTTGTGTAGAGCGGGGCCTTTGTTTTATAAACCGTAAAACTTAGTGACAAGTCGAAAGGGCTCGCTCTTGGTTATGATACCAAAGAGTAGAGGGACACCACGGTGATCTTCCAGGTGTTTGATCATCGTCGCCGCTCGTGGTGTACTTCGCTACTTAGGTGAGCGAGATCGACGTTCTTCCTCTCTTTAATTCTGACAGCTGTGTGAAAGACCTGATCCTTACAATGAAAAACGGTCGATTGTGCTTTTTCAGTGGCGGCTTTAACGCTCGTCCATATTCAGCGCTTATCCTAAACATGCATGGCATCTCTAGCTATCTACAAGACACGCTGCGATGTATTATTCGTCCATGTTCAACACAACAACTGCGCTAGTGAGATAGAGAATCGAAAGATCACATTGTTGCGCTCGAGGCAGAGTGCGCTAAGTTTGCCAAGTTCTACAATGGACAACAGATCGTACGGCCTCCCGCAAGAATAAGGACAAGGTCTATCAGTTACAAGCAATGGATAAGTGGAATTGTAAAAAGTTTTAATTCGTCCGTGCATCGAAAGGCCGATGGTATGTAATTTTGCTCTTTTCCGTTCTTCACACACTCGAATAGCTGTTAAAATTAAATTTAATTGCGGGTTGTGCAGTCAAAAT